AAAAAGGGGGAAGAAGGGGGGGGGGGGGGGGGGGGGAGATTTAAATGGTGTAATATATTTTTCACCACCTACTCAAAACAATCTTGAATAAGACTGCCAACCTTAAAAACTAATGTGAAAGTTATGATGAAAGATAATGACTGGCAAATTGAGTAGGCATATTATAAGCATGGACCTATTAATAAGTTATAAGGCTTGAAATCACACTATGACATTTTAATATTAACAAAAGAAAAAAACAATTACAATTCACTCGCACGGATCTCATTCAAATGTTTATTAAATTATATGCAACTAGAATATATATGGAGCCAATTGCAGCACACAGCAACTAGTGCACTAATATTGAATAAAACAATGTACCTTTCTTAACAACTGACTAATCAGAGCAGTGCCAGAATTACGCCCGTGTCAAACAAGCACGCGTGTTGTCAAACAAACACCCGTATGTTTTGTGGACCTTAGCAACAGTATCCAATGGGCGGGGCTTAGCGTAAAGGTCCATTAAATTCAAGTTCCTTTGATACTTTTAAAACCTATTCTGACTGGATTTAATTGCACATAAAATCAAGCTAGATACAATTGATCAATACATTTTTCATAATAACAGGACATAACATTGAGGCTGAGGTTGATAACAGCATGGAAGTACATTGTGAAAATCTAGTGTTAATTGACCAATAATTTGTGTTCTTGGGAAACAAATTACTAAACTGGTTTTTGAAGTGGTTAAGCCTTATTTTTTTAATAACCGCTACATTTTCACTATACGTCGAATGTTAATTCCGTATCTGTTCACAAGAGAATAGTTAAGGTGATCTGATTCGACCATTCAATCAGCGTTGCAAAAAGCTGTAGTATTTTCAAACCAAGCCGTACTAATTAGTTTAATCAAAGTTTAATTAGCAGTTTACTAATTGGCTTACCTACCTTTGTCATTACAAAACTAAGTACTTAACTGGTTTAACTAGTATTTTATGCTTAAAATGGGACATACCACTGATTTATCAACAGAAAAACAAAAAGACATTAATTTTAAAATTAAATAAATTATTACTTGCATACTTCAGTCAAGGTTAATTATGTAAACAATATACAACAATTAAAATTGGAACTTTTCCATTGAGTTGATAAAGCACCATAAACAAACATCATGACTAGTGCTGCTTATTTATGTATAATCATAATAATCAGTGTCATTATCATCAGTATCATTATTACAATTTTTAAACAGTAAATAATATACATCATAATTGATTTTGTAAATATTTAGTTAACCTTTAAATTAAACTACTATTTTTACATTTATAATAATAGTACAATAACAATTAATGAAATTAAAACTAACTCTTGTTATAAGGCGTAAGAGTGTAGTGGCTTTAGTTTTAGTGTTTATGAAAACACTCATGTTTACAGGATTCGAACCCAAGACCCTGTGATTATGAAGATTATTAATTAGTTAGTAACAGCACCATTTCATTACCCTACGTTTGGACAGTGAGATAATTATCCAATAAGCTACATCTTCACTTCAGCAACAGGATTTGAACATGTAACCAAAGATTAAAGGGTGACTACCATAACCAACAAACCACAGCTCAAAAGCATTGACATTGCAGGATATGAACCCAGTACCCTGGGATTGGAGTATGACCATCTCATCCCAAATCCATAATGATTATCAAACGCAATATTAATTTTGTAATAAGCAAATTAGTAATCAGAACTGCGCATGCTCGCATCAGGTTCAATCAACATAAATACAGTACACACAGCAAAGGTTTATGTCGATTGACCCTGGATGCGGGCATGGGCAGTTCTAACTATGAACTGGCTTATACAATAATCCTAACTACAAAAAAACTAAAAGTTAAAACAACAAGGAAGACAAAAATAATCTATTTCTAAATTTTGTTTTTGGATTTCTGATATAAGATTAAACTGGAATACTTCAGATTTAAAGCTATCTGTGAATTAGGATATGTGACCTAGTAAGGGCAATTGTACATACACAGGCACGCAATTCTCAGGCCAACCCCACCACTGACGTGGTTTAGGGGCAAACCGTCATAGAGTGTCGTAAGATTACGAGTCACATGGACACACATCCTGGAAACACACCAGCTTGCTCCGAAGTAAACTACAAATACTCGCTTCTTCCTACCAGTACTTTTCAAAATCTTTTGCACAACTCTGAAGGGAAACAAAAGAAAAAACAAACATTGAAAAATTATAATATTTACTTTCTTAATTTAACAAGAATTTTCTATAAATCAATCTTGGTTCCAGGGGCAGTGTCAGCGAGGGGGTGGGGGGAGATACAGACAAGCCGTTGCAGATTAATATACAGTACAACTCCAAAGTAGAGGTAATTTAGTAAACTAAAAAAATACTTACACATGGGGAAGTCTGTGGGCCATATCGTTTGACTGGGATGCCTTCTTTGTTGACCAGGAACTTTTTAAAAGAAAAAAAAAGTAGGTAAATAATTTGAAGCCTATGTTATAATAAAGACATGGAGTTTGAGGAAAGCAAGTCTGACGTAGTAGGATGGAGGTAGGGAATATGATGTTTGAAAACAGTCTGCGAAACTGGTAAAGCGCCTCTGTATGCATTCAATTTGATTGACCGTGCATTTTTGATGATGTAGCCAAACGGGAGATGCATACTCAAGAATTGGTCGGACTATTGCAATATAATTTAATAATCTGAATTGAGTGATCAGAGATTAAGCATTTAATAAACCCAGATAGAGAGATATGTTGATTCTATTTAAAGTCTGAGTTTAAAACAACTCTTAGATATTTGTATTGAGTCATAGTTACAAGGTGTTTATTGAGGATGTGATATTGAAGTATTGTAATTTCTGGAAGGTGCTATTTCCATGACCTTGCATTTTTCAGTATTAAGAGACCTATGATATATTTTGCCCCATTTACCAATGTGGTTAAGGTCACTTTGAAGGATTTTGCAAATAATGTCATCAGCATATTGTGGCATGTGAGAGGAGATTTGTGCAGAAACATTGGCTATATTGTATAATAAAAGCTTACCTTTGTGAAGTTCCATTTTATTGAACTGAAAAACAAAATTTATGAAGGCATCAAATACTGTATAAAGTTGCATACAATGCAATAAAAATAATGATAATAATTATGTTTCAGCTGGAGAGCTGAAATGCAAGTATAATATAAAGTAACGTTGAAACAAATTCATGTGGTTGCTAGTATGGTAGTAGTAGGTTTTAAGGTTATTTTTAACATTCTTCCCAACTTATGCATCTGTGCATAGATCAATGGGTATCGCAATTTCAATTTTAAATTTTCTATCTGGGTCGTCAGTTTAAAGTTTGCGAAATGCTGATGTACAGCATACCGTCTTTTGGAAGATAATTACGTCGTTGCTCCTGTGTACAATATTGCGGTGCCGTGCCACACAATGCACCACCACAAGAACCCACTGCAAAATACGTCTTTAGCTCAATCCACAATATTAAATATAACAGTTACAGTTTTTTGTAAATTTCCCAAATAAGGGCATGATGTCATAGGCCTATCACATCCATATATGGAATGATGATGTCATATCATACCATATATGGGCAAATTACAGGTATTTTTCCCACAAAATTTTAAGACGTTTAAGCTTTCTTTGGTTATGGCAACAAGCCAAACTTTTCATCCTGAAATTGACAGTAATAAATCACAAATAGTCTGCTACACAAGGAAGTAACAAACCTTCCCAGAGTTCCTCCTTGCTTGCTCTTCAGATATTTATACAGTGGGTCAGCCCCATCTCCATTAACTTCGATCTTGGCAAACATGTCAAACTGAACACCAAATTTCCCTACAGCAAACTCCTTAATCTCAGCATTTGTCCCTGGCTCCTATACACATAAATCAGTTAAGCATGTCACATTTAAAGTTCATTTCTTTCATTGTACACATAAATGTCATACAAATTCAAAAAGGTAATGTAAAAATATAAATCTTAATATAAGATGATAAATTCCTGTTTAAAGGTTAACCCTCGAAATAGAATGCAGCTTTCTATAATCATGAGTGCATTGGTACCCTATGTTTTTGTGAGTTTAACAGCTGCTTTTCTGCCAGTAAATGAGAAGTTTAATATCTGTAAATGCTCAAATAATCGCCACTCTTGAATAGGCACCGCATCAAACCCGACTTTCTTTGCTAAGCCCTGCTCTTGAATAAGCGCGGTGATGCTTAATCATGAATATATATTACTATGTGTGTAATGAAATTTTATTTACAAGGTATATACAGTTTTAAAATGAATAACACAATGAAGACACAGGCATTTCTTTATAGACATTTATTTATGATGAAGCAGGCATGATAGGCCTGCTACAGGAATATGTGAGATACAATAGGTAATATGGGAACAGGCATGAAAAGCGTCACACCAATATGTTTTTATAAGCGACACTTTCAAATAAGCGCAGCACTGAAGTCTCAACAAAATTTTATAACAGCTGCAGCATATATTCAAGAATTTAATATTCAGGGGCACTCTAAAACACATTGAACCATGTGATTTAATATCACATCCATATATGGGCATGAGGATGTCATATCATCCACATATATGGGCAAATCATAGACAGGTATTTGTCCCATAAAATTTGAATTATGTACATCAAAGCAAAAAAGCCAACCAACAAGCCAATTTCATCCTGAAACTGGCAATGATAAATCACATCTGCTCCACAAAAGAAGTGTTTCACTTTGTGTTCATAGGTTTCCATGGAAACAGCATTTTTCTGTATCATGGGTGCATTGGTAGACTACCTCTACTTCATGGCTTTAAGTTTCACTTTTGTTTTTGAGTTTGAAAGATTAAAATTTATATAGCACCTAGCACAATCTAGAGAATATACAAGGCGCATTATCCCTTGGTCAATGGATACTGGAAACTGGCACATTTTGTGGAACCTTCTCTGCTCCCTGGGGAGTATCCCTAGTCATGCTGCTTTACACACACAACCCAAACATTCAATGCCATACCATCCTACCAGGTACCCATACTCCTGGGCGGAGAGAGCCCACACTAAATGTGAGCCCACACTAAAGTGAAATTTCAATAGGCAGGACTGCAACATATAATTACACGATAAAGAACATTAGAGGCAATTTGTTCCTTACCTGCTTACCAAACTGGTTACATGGGAAACCAAGAATCCTAAGACCTTTAGACTCAGCGTACTTAGCGTGCAATTCCTGTAGCTGAGTGTAGTTCTTAGTTGTGAACCCTCACTGGGAGGCAACGTTCACTATCAGGCAAACATGGCCTCTGTAAATGGAAATAAGAACAGTACAGTAGGTTAAAAAATACACCCCTGTAGGAATTCAACCAGTGACCTTCTAAGTACTTTTTTAATCATCTGTCAATGGAGTAAACCACCATATTTGGCAATGATTTTTCTTAGACTTTGTACTTTCTTTGCTCAACAGACCCGGATAAAAACAAAAATTTAACAGTGTATAATCTACACGCCCATTTTGTCTATGGCCATGTTGTGAGATTTGAACCCCATACGCTCGATTATCTTTACACACAGAACATGCATCTTTACCGCTCAGCCACATTTCACCTGATACACATTGCCAGTAATATTATACCCCTATAATACAACAACAACCAGTGGATACAAATATATGGTGCGAGAAGCGATAACTGTACTACTTGACAAGCTCCTCTAGTACCACCAGCAACACCACAAATTACGCCCTTTTCTTATCACAACTCAGCCCACCCTTGGACTCCATCTGTGCGATAGTCAGGATAAGACCTGGATCCGCGCCTGTTGTTACACTTACCAAACTAAGGCCATTTTGGGCCTGGATAGTATTTAAGGTGTTTTCCAAAATTTCAACAAGGATGGTATATAATATAATAAATAGAGATATTTTTTTTTTATCCAAAGTAAGCCTACAGGGATACTATGTGTTACATATTTTGCCTGGAAATCATGAGAAGTAATCAACTTAATATTATGAATTCTAATCAGAATCAGAAATTAATTTTGTAATTCAGAGAAGATACTGATTGGTTACCTGTACTTCTCCAGGCTTACTTCATTGCCATCTATATCAGTGACTGTGAATTCATAAATGGACTTTGCATTCTTCCAATCAACTGTTTGTGTTTGTGCCTAGATAAATAACAAATTCTGTGTTAATATAACATATGGATAGGAAGAATGGAAGGAAATGCAGTGGAAGGGAATGAAAAAACATGAAAGAAAGAAAGGGGTGGGAAAAAAGGAAAGAGAGAATTAAGGAGGAAGGAAAGTGAAAGGGATAGAGGAAAAAGAAAGGAAATTGAGAGGAGGAGGGAAATGGAATGAAAGAAGGGTATTAGGGAAGGAGGTTAGGAAACAGTAGATAAGTAGACAGATGAAAGAGGAGGGAAGAGAGGCAGAAAGGAAATTAGGAGGGAAGAAATAGGGAGAAAAAATGGAAAGAAGAAGATAATGAAGACAAAAGAAGGATGAAATGAGCGGCAGAGAATAAAGGAACGGTGATGGATTCAAAAAAAGTTACAGACATAGGGTCAAACAAGTCAGAGATTTAAAAGTTTAGGATGATGAAGTTTGTGCTTAGATCACAACATAGGAACTACAATCCCAATAACTTTGGTTGGATGGGTGTCATAGTCATAAATGGAGTCATAGATGGGAGAGGTCCATGTCTGTCCAGAAGGGAAAACACCCCCCTTCCCCCTCCTGTGACCATCTGCTGGTATCACAACCGAAAGATGGAGGAAAATAATTGTAAGGCAACGGAAGAAATGAAAGCGAGAAAGAGTAAGAAGGAAGAGACAGAAAAATTCACTATGAGGAGGAATCGTGGGCTACTGCTAAAAAACAAACAACTTTCATAATGTGATAATGGTGATAGAACGACCTCCTAAAGCAAATGATTAACCAAGGCTGGGCTACCATTATTATTATTAAAATAAGGGAAGCTTGAACTTTTGACCTCAATGGCCACTACAATTCACATACACTAAGTACTGTAACCATTGAATATATTGACATAAAGGTGGATTGTTTGATAAAGTTCAAAAAGCAAACATTAAATATTGTATGGAACCAGTGGCGTAACGATGGGGCCTGGGGCCCTGTGGCTTTCTGAAACTGGGGGCACTTTTTGGGTTCCCATCACTAATTCCATCGTGGGATTTTATAGATGTGCTCATTTTTTAATCATGTTTACAATGTTATTCTAAAATGTTTTTAACGACAAAAAAATGATATATCAGTGGAGAATCCAGGTATTTGAAATAATGGTGCCCGGGATTATGCTATTGCCCTGGTGGGGCTGAGATTAGAAAATGTATGACTATGGCACGTCTAGATGGCTGGAAATGGCACTCACCGACTTAAAATTGTGAATATAATTTTCTTGTTAATACCTCCATTTAAAAGTTTTTTTGACAAATTTGTTGGGGTCCAGAACATCATAATATACAGGGGTATGCCTTGCAGTCGATTTTAGAGACACATTATGGTGTTTTGTATCACCAAAGTCCTTTTTTGTCAGGGTGCTAAATCGAGGAACCTATGGGCAGGGTGCCCTACGGGGCCCTAGGGTTCGGGGGCCCTGCAGACCGCCGCATGAGAGCGCATAGGTGTTACGCCATTGTATGGAACACCAACACGCTGTAACTTAAATTGAATAAAAAATGTTCAATTATTTTCTTATAAAATGATGGAAAAGAAAAGATTTATGTATTATTTAACAATATCATACACTAAGTTGTTCATACCAACATCACCTGAAGCCAAAGTCTAATTACCATCGACGTTAATTTACCTACAAGATTACGCTAATTTATCTTCCAGAAGACATATTAAAAATTAATTATTAATTACAATTTATACAATCTGGCGATAGGTTGCTAAGAAGCATCTTAAAACTAGGCAAATACTTGGTTATTAGTATGGTAGTACAACCCTTTCATAGAATATAATGTGTACTACTAAATGCTGACTCGTGGTTATGCAATTATATGACACTTGCTTATTTCCTCTAAAATGTTAAAGGCACAAACACCTACTACCAATTTGCAGTTGTTTTCCATTTCATTATGATATTGCATTCTGCTGTTTATTATAGTGTAGGTTTGGGACTACTATGCATTACAGGGCAAATTTTATATTATCAACAACAACAACAGACTTCTCAAGTTCATAAAACGCACTTCCATATTAAAATATGTCTTCAAAATTTCCTTCTTAGTAAATGAAAAATTTCTGTAGTCACATAATTTGTAAAGAAAAAAGTTTTTTGGTTTTTCCGCCCCTATTTTTTTCTGGGAGTTAGGTGGAATAGGGCAAACCAAACCAACAATTTATTATTTTTTGGCCTTATATAACTTACTTAATACTGGGCCCAAGGCTGCATGTATACAGGCTACAGACGATGTTGGGGTCTATGTAATTGTAAGTAATTAATAAAAAAGAAGTACTTAATAAAAAAAGAAGTACTTAATAAAAAAGAAGTACATGTCAATTTCATTTAGGCCCTAGGCCTATATATATTCACTAGCAGGCCGGCCAAATCTAGCTAGGGCCTAGGGAGGCCTCGGCCTAGGCGGCCCTAGGCCGAGGGAGACTAGGCACCCACTAACGAGAACTATACATTAGAGAGAGGCCTAGGGCCTAGGCCTAGCCTAGACAGAAGCGCAACAAACGCATGCATTTGCGAATCAGGAGACTTACCATGCTTGCGAAACCTGCAACGCCTACGTAGCAAATGACCGTTGGGTATCGGATCTGCAAATAACCACTACGTAACCCAGATCCAAGGAAGTTAGTAAACAAATGAAACGATCTTATGACAACCATAACACCCCAACCACCATTGGTCATGAGTTATTATTCTTTGTCGTCAAAGTCGAGCGAGGGATAGAAGCGCCCGCTATAATAATCATAGTCCAACTTGATTATCAATCTTGATAGTAGGTCTTTGGTTTATGAACACAACTACTTCAAAAAATATTTGAACCAAATTTTATGAGGACGGACGGACCATCCTGAAGAAGTCTGGGACCCTCAACTTGTGACAATATTATCATCAGATGCATACGGTATTTATGTATAGACACATTTATATTAATAAGACCAGAGAACATATATCGAACACTAGAAACACAAACCACGATAATAATAATAATCTTTTTTCCACATTATTACTCCAGTCATTGGAACGGTGCCTATGGAGGAAATTCTATAGTTTGCTGCATGAAATGTACCAGCGCATTTGCACTCGAACCTCCTTATTAATCCTTAGGTACCTTATATACACCTGGTGGACAGAAGCAATACAGATAATTAATTGTTCATAAAGGATCCATCTCCACTCACTGGAGCTGAAAATTTCCAACAAATTTCGTACCACAATTATATTAAAAATTAACGGCTTGGAGAGCTGGCAAATGATATACAAAACTATAGCATTTAGGAACGTTATAAAAAAAAATGGACTTTTGAAATTTGGAGGTCGAGTGGGAGTTTAGGGACGAAGTCCCCAGGACGCTCCGACAAAGTGGCATTTTTTCTTTCCCATAATTTGTGAATTCTATTTAGATTTTCATTCATTTTGGTGTTCCATCTGTAGGCCTACAGATGAAATTGTTCATAATGGAATCTTCAATCACTGTAGCTTATAATTTTCAACAAATTTCGTAACACAGTTATCAACATTCAACGGTTAGAAGAGCTGCAGCAAAAATGCAATGCATACTATAGCATTTCACGATAATTAGGAACCAACCGTCTCGCGCATCGTGCGGGACGGTCCCGCATTTCAAAGTGATTTTGAAAACACGCATTTTCCAGAAACACATGCGTGATCATAAATTTGTCACGCATTCAGTATACAAGTCTATGCGTGATAACGAATTATCATGAATTCATTGGAAAATTTATTTAAAATTAGAAGAAATTTGTTTCATTAACGATATAAAAACGGTCATGGAGTAACTTAAGTCATTAGAGAGCTTTCGTAACCTCATTCAAGAATCAATTCACCGACAAAATATCTCTTTCTCGACCACAACAACCCAGCCAATCTAGCACTTAATAGGTAGAATCTAGGAAGCGCATGCTTTCTTGCGCGTTCATTGCCACAGTCAACTGTTAAGTTAATAATGTGGACTGAAACTCGGACCCACCGGGGATCCGCCCTTGGACCTCGGCGGTGGTTCTGGTAGCCCCCCGGCCCCCAGCCAACTGGTGTAGTCACGCATTTCAAATCCCTCAGGTTGGTAACTAGGCCTATGCTTTATAGGTTTTAGAAATTCCCCGGAAGCTTCGACAAATTCGTGAATATTCTATTTAAATTTCATTAGTTTGTGTTTAGGGATCTGAAGAAGTACCATATAGGCTACCGTTTTATGTCCTTTACATCTGTAGGGCCAGAGATAACATTGTTCATATGGATCAATTTGTAATCACCAGAGCTGATCATTCCAACAAAGTTCATACCACAGTTATTAAAAATCAGCGGTTAGAAGTACTGGCAAATATAAAATACAATGCATGGCATTTAGCAATAATTTGGAACAAAAACTTCGTCAGGTTGAAAAAGTGAACCCTTTGGAATTGGGAGGGGGAGGGGTTACGTCTGCACCCCTGCCTACGGACCGGGGCCCGTATCCCCAAGAAGGAGGGATCCCTCCCCACACTTAGTCGGAAAAAGTCCACATTTTTTAAGACAGTCGAGAATGTACATTTTTGTAAATTTTTTTCATTTTTTTTAATACTGTGTATACTTTCAAAAAATGTATTTTTAAAACAATTAAACCGATTATACATTAAGAGCCCAAGACCCTATGCTTCTGTTCTGTTACTGTAATCTTTTTCAATCATTAAGATTATAATTTATATGAAGAAAGTGTTGAGCTTATAGTAGAGGGCTTCCAATGTTTTTAATTTTTTGTTGGATTCTCCTTTTTTCAATACCGTATGGATTTGAATTTGATTGACTATACGATGACAGAATACAATCACAATGGATGGCACGGACCTTGAAATCTCGAATTCCATCAACCAGCTTGAAATATGTCTTACTCTAATAATAATAATAATAATTGTCGACATACTATAGCGCATATTATAGACTAACCTATGCGCTTTACATTATAACCCCGGTCACTGGATCAAGCGCGTGGAACCACAACACTCATGCCCCATAATGTTGCAGCTGTAATCAGCGCATGGTTGTGTTTGAACTTTTTTATTTATTTTTTATTTTTAAGAAAATCATTTCCTTGAGTAAGTTGAGGTTGGGGAAGATGAAGATCACGGGAAGCCCTAGTATTGCATGTGGATTTCAAAATTTGTTAAAAAGTTACAGGAGAAGTTTTAAGGGAGTGTATTATTAATATATTCAAAAACAAAAAAACATTACCGGAATTTTTTAATACCATAGACAGTTATTAGAGTTTGAGATTAACAAATAAGGAATCAGGAATAAACCAAACGAGGCACGTTGGAGATGGTGCGAACAGCTTTTTATATTTTTTAAGAAGATAAATTTTATTAAGATTAGAAGGGTTGTTCGCCCATACGATATTACAATAACTAATAAATGGAAGAATGAGAGAGCACTGAAATATTGCGGAGAAGATAGGAAGGTAAAAAAGAAGAGAGACGATTAGATACCAAATACCAGTGTTTTTTGAAATTTTTATTTCAATTTTTTTTTTATATGAGTTTTACATTTTATTTCCTCATCGATTTTGACACCAAGATCTTTGTATTTCTAACAGTTTCGAAAGGTCCACTGATTAATCTCAGATAAGAAAGTATAATACATACTCCCAAGTATTGAAATACACGCCATCGTGTTGGGATTCAATATTTCGACATTAATTATGTCATCATCAGGAATGGATTCCTGTGTGTATTTCAATACTTGGAGTATGTATTATACTTTCTTATCTAACAGTTTCATTCGCCCTTTTTTGGTGACGAAATCCAAACAACATGAAATTGCTATTGTTAATGTTAATATAAAATTTGTTAATAATAAAGTAATCGTGTATGTTATTTTAATTCTTGGTTAAATGTGTAGAAAATCATTTTTCAATCATTAAGAGTATAATTTATATGAATAAAGTTTTGACATGGATACGGATAGGCTATATAGAAAGATGTTTAAAAATTGAAAAAGGATCAAAATTTTAATTTATATCTTTTCATAAAACTAAATAATGATTTATTTAATCCAATGACAGTGAAATCAAATAAATGGGTCGCCAGTAGTCAGCACGACGTAGTCGAGGTGACGCTTACACAAATGCGTCATTTCCTCAACGCGTTGTTACAAAATGAGACCGTTCATAAAACCGGCCAACGCAGACTCAGCTCAGGTTTTTGGAGCAGGTTGGAATTAATTAAAGAAGTAAAACCGGTTGAAAATATCCAAGATGGGACATTATGTCTCCCATTATTTTACACACCCGGATACTGCACCGAAACTAGAAGCTGACCCAACATTTGATCCTCTGTATGGTTTCCCAAATGGTCGAGAAGAAAGAGGTAATGAATGCCTAGGCCTACCCAGTGGTGCCTAAAGGCCAGGCCCTGCTGGCCCCTGGCCCCTGTCCAGGTGTGTGCCCTGTGTTTTGTGCCCCCGGTGCAGTGTGTTGAGGGGATATTGGCCTAGAGCTTAGGCCGAGATAATAATAGTGCAGTATTATTAATTTTGACCAGACTGAAAAGTATTAGACTTGGTGAAAATCGCCAGGCTAGTATACACCGTCCCACCCTCAGTTACTGCAACTGGGACTGAGTATTATTTATTATAATTTATACTAGCCTAGCCTACTAGTACTAGGCCTATTATAGAGGCTAGGCTAGGGCCTTACCTAGCTAGGCTAGAAAGAATGCCACCCGTTTTGGCCGCAAACCAGTTTGTCTGCGACGATGTATTTAACAATAATAACATCCAAAAAATCAGGAAATTAGGCCTACCTAGGCCTAAGTCTGTTTTCTCTGTATTAATACTAAAATATAGACTACTATATACATATTTTAAAAGGTCCACTGATTTATTAATCTACTGTACTCGACCAAGAAATAAGTAGGCTTATGATCCAGTGGGAAGTTTAAGCTTGTTAAACTTCCCGTTTCTTGCATGTCATGTTAATGCCTGCCCTAGGTTTCCCTTGATGAATTGACACAAATAAAGCATGTTTTTTTTTGCATTTCCCACAGAATATTTTATTACTTTTTATTTAAATATGCATATTTATTATATTATAATTGTCAGTATTTTATATTTATTAGTCATTGAATTATTCGTATTGATTGAAAACATAAAATTTACAAAATGTGTTTCATTATCGCAGCATATTTATTTACCATTTACTAAGCTATGATTTTAAATTTAATGGTGGAATTAATTATAATTATAAAATTCTTCTATCTTTAGGCATGCAACGCTTACTATAGATACATGTAGCTATGCTGGGCTAGTACTATTATCAATGTTTTGCAGAGCAATCTCTGTATAGGCTTATTCTAAAAGGCTAGGAATACTACAGAGTGCATAGGACTGTTTTGACTGCAAACCAAAATTATGCTGGAATGTATGGAGCACATTTTATATTTTATGTTTTTCGATAAATTGAGTTTGTTGAATGACTAAAAACCTATAAAAAAGCTAATTATAATATAGTAATGTTAGTATGTTCTATGTGTTTACTTCAAAAAGTAATTAATAAAAATGTGTAATGCAAAAGACATTTACGCATAAATAGTAATATTAATTAATATGAGCAAACACTACACATTTCAGTACATACTGTATAATAACAGTTTAACAGCCAAACAGACAGCATTTAGTCTTAGCAGTTGGCTTTAGACTTTAAAGATGCGACAATACAAAGCAAGGAGACACATATGCAGGTGTTACGTACACACAAGTCTGACATTTGGGATGCCATCTACTGAAAAAAATTGGTGCTAATACTGTATAATCGCATATATAAGGCGATCTGCGTATAAGACACCCCCTGAGTTTGAGAAGATTTTTTAATGATTTTTGTACATCGGGCATATACGAAGACCCCCTTGTTTCATCGTCCTTATTCTTAATTTTTGCTGTTTTTATGGTCTTGATACTGCTTGTAGCTGTCTGAAAACAGAGCCAATTTTAGGGACAATCTTCCAAATAATACCATTTTATGGACTTTCATAAAGTTCATCAGTCTTTCCCTGCTTTTAAAATTATGTTCATTCATACTAAACAGTAGCTTCGTTTCAGTAGTAGTTTGTGTTACCAAACTGAACATAAGACGAACATGTCAATTTTAAATGAAACATTTGTATGTGTTTTGCGTATAAGGTGACCCCATGATTTTCGATTACAATTTGGTATTTTAAGCCTGGTTTTATACGGTAGTATAAACTGTTACAGTATTAATGATGATGATGTCTTTATTTATTTATGTAGTGATGATTGCAACAGAAGAGGAAATGGACAATGCCAATTTGAGCTGGAAAGACCGAGACTATTGCGCTCACACTCTGATTGCGTACAAGAAATGTCGCCGTGATGATTTCCCACTGGGTTTAAATTGTGGCCATGCTAAACATGCATATGACCAGTGCGAGTTTGAAGAGTAAGTTTAGGTCAACTGAAGACCAAGATCTGTGGTTTAACTCCAACTTGCCTTCCATTCCCAGGGTCCTGTCATGGTAACAGGATTTTTTTTTAAACAAGTCCACTCCCTAATCCTCATAATGAGACTTAGCTTAATATGTGGAGCATCTTGTTTTATGTTTGTCTTGTGAAAGGATTGCCACTCGTAAAGTTATGCTTGCTATTGGCATATCCTTGGCCCTAAGCTTAAATTAAATAAATTTGCTGACAAATTTGTGATGGTTATCACTAATAAAAAATATGCATCTCCCTCTAATAAAAGACCCTCCAATTCAAGACCACCTCCAATTCAAGACCACTTTATTTATTATTTTAATTAGACACCAAACAAGACACTGGTCCCAAAAGAGACCATTATTCATATTTTTAAAGTTCTGTTGTATTCACTGTTCTTTATTGAATATATATTAATAGTTTACTATTATTATGCATCTTTTCAGCTACGTGCTACGAATGAAGGAATTTGAGAGAGAAAAGCGTCTTTTAGAACGAGCAAAAAGGATTAAATTAAAAGCTGAGAAGGAAGCACTGTAAACTTGAGAATTGATTGATAGCAAAAGAAACTGAATTAATACAGACGTTGACTAAAGGCAATTGTATGCAGTTTGTCATTGTTAAAAAATGGGAGCAGAGCCAAAAGAATTAAGCACTAAGTAATACTAGGGAGCTTTCGATTGTACAACGATGGTAAGACCCAGAACTTAATGGCGTCACTAAGAATTCATCTGCGCATACGAGAACACGGGAGTTCTTCTGACCCAAATCTACATTGTGCAGAATGGTCACGGATGAATAATTCTAGAATTCACATCGTCATGCAAATCGAAAGCTTCTAAATCACGAGAAAATGAAGGCATTTCTAAACAACATGAAACAAACCAGAAAACTCGTTCAGCAATAAAATCTCATTTTGATCGGAAATTTAACTGCTTTCAATGCTGTTCAATAAAGTATGAAGTAGAGAGAGGAAAAACCAAGACTGGAAAAACTAATTCTATCCTGGCAAACAACTAGAATGGGGATAATTTGTGTTAAATACTTGAGTATTGCCGTGATTCATCTAAATATTATAATAATATTGCAGGGAGTTGCATTGCGTGTTAACTGCATTAAAATATAAATTTATCAGACACTGTTATATTGTGTTTATGTTGAGTTATATTTTTTTCAACTACAGTATACATAATAACTGGGCAATACTAAATATTAATGTTTCCAGACCCACCCAGTCATTTTTTGGCAGGTTATGTTTATGCCAAAATATGTCTGGCAGAGCTGTTTTGACCCCACCAGAGAATATCTGTATGCTAACAAAGTGTAATTGGTGTTTTTTTCTTTAATTGGTGTGATATTATCAATATGCTACTGACCAGTGTAGAACCCAGAAATTTGAAGTAGAGGGGGGGGGGTTTAAATGACCTCAGCATGGTTGGGACTGAGGATAAAACTATTTATTATGGTTATTACAGCTGGAAATGACACTCTTGAGACTTAAATTTCAATATAATTTTCTTTTCTCTATTTTATTTTAATTTTGAAGTATCCCCTCCCCAGGGGAGTTGACATTTTGCAATGATTGTCTAGAATGGCAAAAAATTACAAATTAAAAACAACTTTTTTTTCTTTTTTTAGTCATGTCTGATATTTTTTTATTGCAAGACAGCGATTTTCAAAAGCCCTATGGTTTGCCAATCAAATTTACGGTTCAAACATCCATGCTCAGATATTACAAGTCATACAGAATTTATTACTATGCAGACTTGATGAAATGATCACCATGGTAACAAATAATAAGTCATACATAGTTTATTTTCATCCACATGATAAAAACTTCATATAAAAAATTCCTAAACATCCCTTATTTTAGTAATACTGTATTGATAGTTTATTTTGTTTTATATATTATTCACTCCCCCTAGATTCATACAATTTTTAAATTAGTTTAAATTACAGTAATAATGATTAATAATACCATATTTTTCTATAAAATAATTTCAATAGCTTGGAATATACACTACTAACGTGTACTTATATACTGACAATATAAATTGCAATGGATAACAACTACAGTACTGAACAAAAATACTCTAATGGAGTGTACAGTACAACACTAGATATTGCAAAGGACGCTAGAATTATATATTCACCTCTGCTGCTATTTTGGAGATGCCGATACATTCACCTGTCAGTCATTCTGTTGACATGACAGCTCTTTATATTCTATGTTAACACTTCTTTAGTTAAAATCTCATTCTATGACTCCTACAATATACCACACCCTACCTCACATCCAACTTTCATCATCTCTTTCACTATGACCTACCTACCAGTCTCTTACCCCACCCACAGCCTAGCTAATACATTGATATACAGATGCCTTCTTCTGTCAGTCATAGCATCCTCATAACAGATAAGTGCAACCACACCTTTTAACAAGCTCCTAAATAATACATTTGCAACTCATAATTTGGTTTGCTGACTCCCCCATCTGTCAGTCATAGCATCCTCATGACAGGTACCATCTGTCAGTCATAGCATCCTCATGACAGGTAAGTGCAGCCACACCCTCTATCACATTCCTCAATAAAACATTTGCTTTTTTGCAAATTCAAATTTGATTTGCGGATTCACCATTTTGTCAATCACAACATAATAAAATGCAGAAACACACATCCTAACATGATCATTGCATTCTCATGACAGATATAAGCTTGCTTTAAGAGGAACCATGCCTTGTAAAGCTAAGCAATCACTGCGGCCAATGGTTGTCACGATTCTATGGAGAAAGACGTGCCAACACGCCCGCAGGGGGTAATTTTTAATGACTATCTGCTCAGGCTGCGTCGCCCAACCCTTACACGGATTCATAGGCCGAAAGTTGTATGACACAGTGAAATGCATGGCTTAATACAATAATTTTTAGTGAAATTAAATTTGCTTTATTTAGATCATAATGTGCAGATTCAATCTTCTGTCAGTGATTGTGTCATCAGCCTTAACCTTTAACCTCTACCACAACCTTTTGATTAATCAATGCCACCACAATGTGTTAAGCCCCATCCAGACTATCAAATTTTACTTAACAAAAGCATTTGCAAGTCTGAATATGGTCATGATGACATTACATCAAGACCATATATAGGCACATCATGTCTATACAGTAAAACGTCCATTTTACGTACCCCTTGGTACCTTGGGGTTTTCGTAAATTGAAAAATTTGTTAACTAGACTGACTAGATGTCAGTTTCCAATACCTAGGCCTAGCTATCCCTTGCCTTTGAGTGCCGACAGGCTGACAGCGGCCAGGCCTAGCACGAACCGACAGTGCAGCAGCGTGGTCTACTGCGTTAGAACCTAGCTGAATTTACCTTCGATAAAAACCAAATTATTTTAATCGTTGGCATTCTTCAACTTAAAGTCAGGTTCCGGAGGAAACAAATTTTTGATATGTTGTAGAACTAACCGACCAATTTTACACCTTTTTCCCCCAGTTTTTAAATATTCAAAAATCTGTATCTGATTTACCGTTCCCCAGTTCTTCCTGTCTTAGAAAAATCAGATCTACAACATATCAAAAATTTTTTTTCTTCCGGAGTCTGACTTTAACAAAATATTATTTTAACTCTTATTCAAACATGTGTATGCTTTATGGAGCTTTCTATTGTGTTCTTTCTAGTTGTTAGATCACCGAATTGTTTTGTTTACATGCATTTTGCGACCATATCTAGCATTCACAATGTCAATAAGTTGCTGACCCCAACACTCTAGTTCGTCATCGTAAACATATGCGCTCAATCCAAAGACACCTGCGTTGGTACTGTAGTTCGTTGTTCTGGTTAGGTTTATCACATTAATATAGTGATTATTATACCACAAATGGAAGAAAAGATCTATTAACTATTAATAAATAAATACAACAAACTTGATTTTATCACTTTGTAAAACGTGTCCAATCAGACTTTTTTTACGGTAATAATTGGTCAATGATGACATCATTAAGGGCAAAAGCCATTCTTAAAATCGATGTTCATAAAATGTTTTACTGTATGTGGACACACAACAGATTTTTGTCCAATAAAATTTGATCGTCTGGAAAGGGCTTAAACCCCTAAATGTGTACGTATGCATTCTTCACTTCCTAATGTTCCTTATGTTTAACATTAGCATTTCCATTCGAGCTTTGATGTTTCTTGTTGCTGGTCTTAGCATAAGCTTTGACGTAGAAATCCATGAAAAGGATGAAGAAAATAAATCCGTAGAGTCCAATGATCCACGCAAAAACCTGTGGGTACCCGCAGTCCGTGAAGAACAGCTGTGAACTGTGTACCATAGATAAAACAAACTGAATCTGAGGGGAAGATAATTAACAAAAAAAATTGAATAAAAGATTGTTTAGTGGCATATTATTTATGTTTTAGTGTGCTTGCCAACTGGAATTTACAAAGGAAATTGAAGTGACCAGTTCATCACTTTAGTACATAAGAAATAAAGAACCTTCTTCATTGTCATCTTATATTCTCCTGAAGTTAAAAACAATTGGAATTTTACTAATAAAGATATACAGTAGCATCAGGAGTAAAATAAGGGAAAAACATTAAAGTTTTGTAGAAATTATAAAAGTATTTATATAAAGAATAACTTTCACTGAATAAAACTCAAAATAAATAAATGTTTAAATGTTTTCCTTACTCTGATTGCCTTTGAAATTGAAAGCTAAGAGCTCAACTAATTACAAAATTATGTAATTTAAATATTGAAGTTTTTGTTTCATGACTGAGACAGTATATGTTTTTAGTTAAGTTACATGAATTCACTACAAGTGGAATGGCATGGCCGAGCGGTTAAGGCAGGAGCGCCCCAACCTACAGCCATGATATTTGTGCTGGTTCAAGTCTTCTCGGATAAAGATTATAAACTGTAGGCCCATTATACAAAATTGGCTCACGTGCACTTGAAAGAGACCAGTACATCTTTCGAGACAAGTAGGGGGTTACCCCGGTGTACTGGACTATACAGCCTCCGTTGCCCTGCAGTTATGGATCCTAAGATTCTTTGCAAGATGTAACTTAGTAAACATAGGCTATGTTCAGACACGACTTACGCTAATGTTACGTTAATCGAGTGGTGTGAACTTGTGTGCGGCGTACCGAACGCCAGTATTGTTAATCCAACAACAGACCCCAGATTAGCGTAAGCCACTGAGTTTATGACAGTCACGCATCAGTGATTTTGAACTTGGCCAGGATTTGACCAATCAAAATAAGCCTGTAAACAGGAAATAAATTGCGCAAATTACGAATACGAATATTTCGCGCGAATACTTACGCTAGTGTTCGTTAATCGCACAGTCTGGACACCTCGCTAGTTATGCTAAGGATTAACGTACGCCAGGCGCGTATCTTCTCAGGTCTGAACGTAAACTATCAGGGAAGTCTTACCAGTTGCATTGTGGTCATGTACCGTTTCCACCATAAAAACCGTTGAAAGGCTGGTCCTAAGGCTGCAAAGCCGTAGTATATATACATCATAAAATGTATAAAAGAATTCATTGTTGCATGGAAGGTACCAAATCCACCTGAAAAGATGTATTGAAATTTTTATTAAAGGCTAAATAAAGAGTGAATGAATAAATAATAACAATAAAATAATAAATATATTATTTATTAATAAAGCATTATTGCACAAGGATAGCCCTATAAGGGTAATGCTGGCTAAAATATAAAACAATAAAAATGTACTAATAATACTAAAACTTGAGCATAAATTTTTGTGACAAGAAATATCAAACGGAAGCCAATCAAAAATATCCTTGGAGTGATTCACACTGAAATACCTCGATCCTATCCTTTCAAATAAAAAATGGATGTGAAAGAAAAAGAAAATATAAAACAAACCTGCAACAAATTTGACACCAAACCACCAGCTGAAGGGCATGATGGCATGATGGAAGACATGCAGAAAGGATACCTGGTTGTTCTTCTTTCTCAGAATAAAGAATATCTGAAATAGAACACAAAATGGTCATACAAACAATTAATGTACAACGTTCTACTTGTGGAGTTGTGAAGATGAAAATGTAATGCAATAGAAGCAGGCCATAATACCGTAAAACTTTGTATTGAAGCCCTGGGCTTCTTTTTGTTTGTGAACTTTGGATAGGCTTCTTTTCGAGATGGGCTTCTTTTCAAAATGAATGGCTGTAAATGTTAGGAATTAGTACTACAAAACAATAAATAGGACCACTGTAAACATCAATCTGTATCGTGGAGTGTATTATTAACTGGCATTAAATAACCTAAACTACTGTAAAACCAAGCGTGTTTATTTTGTTTTATCTTTGACCAACACTAAGACCTTCGGACACAGATCATTTTCATTTGCTGCAGCCACACTCTGGAACGCACTACCACTTCACATTAAAAAATCAACATCAATTGCTTTATTTAAAAAATCACTCAAAACGCACTTATTCCAACATAACATGAAGCGCCACTGATAATTACTTCGGTTTTTTAAATGGCGCTATATAAGTTCTTACCTTATTATTATTATTATTATTACTATTATTATTATATATAGGCTCAGCATACTATATAAGGTCATATAATTCTTTTTGTCGAAGAAAAGTTGATAGCGTGGACACGACCTTAAAATGATCAAAATATGAATTGTTGATAAATTTAATTTAATTAAGTCTGATGATGTAACGTACATGTAACCAGATACAGAAAGATAGATGTCACACTCTATAGCAAAAAACAATTAAAAAAATCATCTTTATGACTATGGCTCTCACTGATTGAATTAATTGATTAACTTTATTCATATCATATCAATTATCATATCATATCATATACTGTACTATATCCTATACTGTACCATATCATATACTGTACCATATCATATCAGATCATATATATCATATCATATATATCATATCATATATCATATCATATTCGATGCTCTACATGCACAAACAATATAAAAATTATTTGAAAACAAGCAAAGTAAAAATTAATGGGCATCAGGAACGCCCACTAAGCCGGAGTCCAGCCTATTTCCAATGTGGTCAAAGATTGCAAATTAAAAAAATTACATTTAAAATCATTAATATTTAAAATTTAAAAATATATACAAATAAAGCCAACATCAAAAATGCAGATATTGAATTGCACATAATTAAAATTCTAAAAGTTCATCAAGCTCAATAAAAAATTTACAAAATCTAAAAACAGCAAACAGGGAATGTGAATATAAAAACTGTTCATACATTGTGAAAAAAATACAAAATTTAAAAAAAAATTAAAAAAACACAATAAAATGGGATATAGTTTTTATACCATTATAGCAAACCAACTTATTTTCATTGTTCAATGGGTTCTTGGGGACAATCCATGGGTTCAAGCCTGTTTATGGGCAGGTTTAGATGAGCTAGAAGTAAGCTTTGGAGTAGCAGTTTACTTGTTGTAAGACGCCAGCAGTGCCCATGAAGACAAGTTGTTTCGCAGTTACTACAGATGATTTATTACTTTAGAAGAAGTCTCAGGAGTAAGCGCGCTACTTCCGCATACACAAGGATAATAAAGAATATGTGCTTTGAGTAGTGCTGTGTAGACGCACTTACTTCAAAGCTCGCAAGTACGACCTTTATTAATTAAACTAAGTACCTTGGTCATATTTTGACACAAAAATTCGGCATGTAGAATACGACTGACTTAGAAATTATTCGAGTAAGGCAAAGTCAACTTAGGCACGTTTACGGTAACTGCATTAATTTGCTTAATATTTTTTGCTTAACTGTATTATTTCCTGTAATGTATTTATTGAAATCTGAAATAAACTAATTGAAATTGAATTGATGTTATGACCACAATTTTTTTTTATATAATTACCAACAAAAGAGTGCCAAAATACTACATTTCCTGTAATGTTTAAACTTTTGTAAACACAATGTTTTCATCATGGTTTACAATTTCAAAAATATGTGTGCAAAATACTGTAGCTGTTGAGAAACAAAAGTGGATAGTGACATGTAGTCACTTCTAAGCTTTTGAAGTAAATAATAAATCAATGATTGCTGTCATTTGTTTTCGTTTCTCATAAAGATTCTATACTGTTGACCCACTCCCAAATGTTGTAAAATTGATGACTCTAAACTATGTAATCAACATATTGAATTCAAAGCCTACCCTTAATGCTTTAGGACTATTGGAGTAATCTACAACCTGGCAACCAAGTGTGTATCCAGTCAACCAGCCAGACATTAGGAACTGAAATGTCAATCAAAAGATGTATTATTAGTATTGATTGGTAGGTTTTACTGTAAACAAGTTTTCCTTCCAATTCAGCATAACAATAGGCCTAATGATAACTATAACAATAAGTATAACAATAAGGATAATAATAATAATAATAATAATAATAATAATAATAATAATAATAATAATGATAATAATAATAACAATAACAATAATAAATTAATAATATATTTATTTCTTCTAATAAAACATCAAGAGTACAAAACATACAAAGGCGGGGTCAGACGAAGGAAGAAAAAGTTCCTATCACCAAATGGATTCATCTGCTGGAAAAATAATATTTGCATGACAATTTCTAAAAAGCGTGTGTTTATTATACCAGGAAAGTCCTACTGTAATATTTACTCCCTTATATTGAACCTAATCATTCTTTGTTCATAAAAAATAATGTAAAAAGGAATAGGCCTACTATTGGAAGAACTTAGAATGTCATACAATATGAGAAATTGACAAACCTCGTGTAAAAGATATCCGGACAAAACAACCATAGCCATGTTGTACACCAGGAGAATGTTCTTTAAACTATAAGGCTGCTTGTTGGCCATTAGTCTTGGTCCAATCCACACAGCAAACAGATAAGCAACAACCATGACTGTACCTGGCAACGGACTGCTCATCAGCAACCAGTCACTAACTCTAGGATCTGTTTTTAAAAGTATGGTAATACAATATCTACATACAAGCTCTGGTTTAGAATCGTAAGGTAATGGTAAAGGTAGGGAATAACTTGCGGTGTGTTTTGTGACTACCTATCTGCTGTAAAGAGGCTATGCAGCTTCATGTCCACAGCATCCAACAAATGGGTCCAAAAATAAACCATAGAATTGGAATTACCCTCTACTCTTTCAAAAGATATTTGGTTCTTTGTGCACACAATGTAAATGCTGACTCTACCAACCGAACCCTGGCTGAGGAGTGGCTCGATCCAGCGCTGATGTTAAAGCCCCATTCCCGGCAAAATCTGATTTTTATATGTTATATACATTTATAAATTTAATACGAAATTGCTAGCTTAACTGAATTTAGACATTCCTAAACATAAAAAAAATGCTAAATAAAACTGAAATTCAATTTTTTTTGTGTTTCACACAAAAAATAAACGTGGATGAATTTTTATGTTTGATTTTGCAATAGGTCTGCGAAGAAATATAGCACAGTAGGCGTCGGAAACATTAACCTAGCAACAATGCTAGTCTAGGCCTAGCCTTACCTCGATTGTTAGGTTTCGCAAAACAATTACCATGCCTACCTCCAACGCTTGACTGACTATAAATTATACACAAAAGCGAGAGCATTGCAGCGGATGCGATCGACAACCTCTGAATTTTGCCTAGTAAATTTCTCATAGTCTCCTATGAGAAATAGTCTCTATTTATCATTAATTTTTATCCTTTTGTATAAAAGTAAAATTTATGCCAATATTTTTCCATACATGGTTTATAACAATAATGCATTAATATGCATTTTTTCTTAAAATATTTTCTTTTGGTGAAATTTTGCCCGAAATGGGGCTTTAAAGGCATCGGTGGCTTTACTTTTTTAGTACAAAGATTGGCTGATAAGCAATCCAGCCATTATAATAGAGATCAGTGATTGAGGTCTGTAGTTAGCAATAGCGGTGACCCTGCTTACCACTCGACTCAATAGTTCCATTTATGCTGCGAATAAAAAAATCTTGATAAATCAAACTAGGCCTATTTGAGAATTAATAAACTGCTGAGAGCGATATATTGATTTTCTGTTGGATGTTTGTTTAGTTCAACAATATAGAAAATCCCCTAATAAAGGTAAAGTTAGGCACCACAGGCACAGAAAAATATTTGTTTGATAAGTTGTACAAATGAATATTCGCAGACACGGAAAGGTGGGGGGAGGGGGAAATTGAATAAATAATCGGGAATGGTTACAAATTATGACTCTGATGAGATACAGTTTTTGTTCAATATATTACAAAACTGTAGTAGTAGTCAATAGGTACACCTTCAGTCATCAAGTTCTTAATGGTGTGGCCAGGCTTTGCTGTGTATTCCTACTAGAACTACTACTATAGCTAGGCCTAGGGTCTAGGCTAGCCTCTATATAAAGCCAGGGTATAGGGCCTAGGCTAAAGCTGGCCAACTATGGCTCACCCAGGAGCCAGGCTTCCCTCAACTCCTTTATTAGCGAATGCATAGGCCTAGCCAGCCTGCGGCCTAGCTAGCTAGGCTCCTCCCTTAGGCTAGTTAGAATTAGGCCTAGTTAGTAGTAGTATGTAATCCTAAGGCTAAGCATAGCCTAGCTACCCTACTACTTACTACTACTAAACTAGTATCTTACCTGCATATTCCGTAACTATATTATTCCACCACGGCAAAATGGAAGCCATAGCTCGTTAAAAACAACTGAAACTAAGTTTCAACTCCTACACCACACAGCCACTCGTGCGTTTTGTTTTGTGTGTCAATTAATGTTAATCATCAAAGTATCATCTTAAGCGCATAGGCCTAGGCCTAAACCATGCATGTTCTTTGGTAGTATGCGCTTTACAAGTCCCAACCATGATACCATTCAGGGTTGCCAGAGTCGACAGGCTTCGCGGCCAAACACACGCCATCCCACGGCCAAATTCGGCCAAACTTTTTTTCCATATCGGCCAAAATTCGGCCAGATTTTAATCCGATTAGAAGACAACAGTGGGTACATATTCATTTGAAATACTACATTTGAAAAACACGAAAATCAGCGGTCATTCGTTTGAAATTGAAGGAATTCAAATGATATACACAGACCAATGTTAAACTTTCACTGTTTTTCTTTTAATTAACCTATCACCATACATGCCCAGCGTAATCATAAATAGCCTATGTTCTTTAGTTGCTGACATGTAGACCAATTCAGGGGAGAATCCAGAGATGTCCGAAAGGGGAGGAGCCGGGGCCGAAAAAGGGGAGAGGAGGGGGGGGGGGAGAAAGTGGGTCCGATCAAGATAACATCATCTTAGAGGAAATTTTTGTTTGAGGAGCCGGGACCGAAAAAGGGGAGGGGAGGGGAGGGGGGTCGAAAGTGGGTCCGATCAAGATAACATCATCTTAGAGGAAATTTTTGTTTTCTAATCGCCCGAATATAACCTGATGCGTTTGGACGCTCAATTTTTCTTTCTTTTTTTCACCACCCCCTAAGTCCGCTATTTAAAATCACATTATTAAGTTTGATCTAAATTTGATTTAAATGAATTAAATATTAAGGTACATAAGGCGTTCAAACAAACCTATGAAAATTTTAATAAATACTTTTTATCTAAACTTTCTAAATTCGCCTTAATGTTATTGTCGCAGTACTTAAAGCAATAAATCAATGTTGCTATCAGAATTATTTTCTTCATCCTCATGCAACCTAACTCCAGAGTAACTTCGAAGCAGTCTCTGCAACACTTGCTTAAAATTGAAGGTGCCATCGGACCCGAATGACCACATCGAGCATTTATATATGACGCTCTACATAAAGACTACAGCACCTTAGGGCTCGGTATAATTTAAGTGGGCAATAATTTAATTAAAGTACAGTATTTAATTTATATTCAAAAGGAATCCAAGAGATAGAACCTCCACTAGGATGGAACATATACAAAGACACACAATATATGGTACAAACTTGCATTGAACTGAGGCTTCATAAAGCTTAAACGAGGATAAATTTCATAAAAAATATATATTTCATCCGAAAAATTTACATTATTAAATGTAACTGTTATTTTTAAAATAAACTCTCTTACGTCAAATCGGCTAAAGGAGAAACATAGATTAAGTGTTTAGTGCAAGTATAAACAAAGGCGCATGATTAGAATCAAATATAGAATTTAAGCTAACAAAAACAACATATCCAAAACAAGTCTACGTTATATTAGGCCTATATTGAAAAAATGTAAACTTTTAAAAAATTCGGCCAAATATAGTTTGGCCGTGACTTTTTAAACGTTACGGCCAGGCAAATTTTTATATGGCCAGATTTGAGGAATCTGGCCGTCAAAAAGGTCAAATGGCAACCCTGATACCATTTCATTTTAGTAGTGTAGCCTATCCCTAGCAGCCTACGACGTGTCGGCGGCTGGATGAGAGACTAGGCCTACTTACATAAAGTTTGTTGAACTTCGTCCTTTCTACCGGCCGGTGTGGTGTATTTGTTGGTGTAGAGAGGGTTAAGCAATAATAAAAGTGAAAGGTTGACACTTCGAACTGAGTTTTGAAGCATTGTATGTATGTGTACATCTAGTTAGGCCTAGGCTAGGGCCAGGCAGGTCTAAGCCTTTCTAGGCCTAGTAGGCCTGGCCCTAGGCGGCGCGGCGGCTAGGCCTAGGCTATATAGCCAAGCCTTGCTTGCCTAGTAGGCCTAAATACTACTAGGCCTAGGCTAGGGGCCTTGTATAACTTAAAGGCCAGCCTGGCCAGGAGGCCCAAAAAAATTGCACAGCCAAAGCAGGCCTAATTGATATAACTAGAAATTGCAAATTGCAGGTGAAGTGCTGCGAAGTACAACTGCATATAAATGTTCTTCGAACAAAATTATTTATGCGAGTCAAGTAAAAATAATGAATAATAAAAATATAACAAATAATATGAGACACGACCCACATTGTCTATATTAGAACAGCGTTGGTACCGTGTATGCCAGTCTACTACAAGCGTCGGTCGCCTAAATGTAATAATTAGCACGCTGAAATAGGCTAGTAAATAAGTTTAACTGGGTTCGTAAATAATATTGGCCTCAAAATATTGTGGCTGAGACATGGGCCGATTAAACGTAGAAATAGGAAACCTAGAAATATAGTAAAAACGCTGAATAGTAATACTCCAGCGTCACGACATGCAGACGTTGGTACGAGTAGGTTAGTCTACAAACGTCACCTAAAGTAATTGATTTTACCCAGCAGAACGAAAGAAGGAAACTCAGCTTTTCAATCGTCTTAGGCCCTTGTTTTTTGACAAACAATGACCTTTCAGAGGTCAAATTACTGTCAAGAATATGAATTGGCTGCTTCGCAGCAATTATGGGCTAGGCTAGGGTCTAGCCTAAAGTGTAGTTTGACTAGGACAGGTAGCTAGCCTTATTATTAGGCCTCTAGCTAGGAGCACATCCAAAAAATTATATCCTTCAGTTGACTTAGTTTCACATTAATTCAATGGAAAGAACACATTGATGTGAGCAATATACAGTTCAGATGACAACAATTGGTTGATTGTTACAGAGTTATGCTAAATTTGTTAAAATGTTTTCATGTTTTCGCCAAAAGGTTTTGTTAAAATGTTTCTAATATTTAGATTGTCTGTTATAACTTTGTTTAAAATGTTTGTGCAAATTTTATTGTATTATATTTATGATTCTTTTTGTTATTTTGTGTCAGAGGCTATTTTTATTACCGGTAGGTCTACTTTGTACATACTTTACTAGAATGGTAAACAAAATATAAGATTTGAAATTGATAACAAGAATATAACAAATAATTTCTTTCTACCAGGATGATTGTTTATTTTTAGATCTATATTATTAAACAGGGTTCACACAAACAAGGTAGTAGTATGGCATTGGCAGTAAGAAGGATGACCGAATTCTATGACTGGATGACAGAAGTTGCCGGTGAGTGTCTCTCAGTAACATGTCATGATAATAAATAGAGACTCGAGGATTTTCAGATTTGCAAGAACAAAATTAGGTGTTTGTGTAGGATTTGAACCCAGGACCCTGTGAATGGAAGATGAATATTTTAACCATAAAGCTCTACTACCTGAACATCACAAATTGTAAGGCCCAGGATCCTTGCTTGCTTCATCCCATAAAAGGCACCACCATAACGAAAATTATTTCCATCAACTGTAGTGAAACACGAAACAAACAAATGGTATTTATTTTTACATCATTACTTTCCGGGTCCTTCTCTGAATATCCATCCAGAGCGAGAGTTAGTGTTTTGGCGACCGCTGCTAGCGAGTTTACGTGCAATGCAATAGTAGTATGTTGGACAGGTGTGAACTTGAACACATATCCTTGGCGCCCTCAGTAAACCCTGTTAGACGTGATCTTGCATCCCTGGCAGCAAACGTGTTAAGCAAGCTGTAGATCCCATACATGAGCCCATTTAAAATTCAATAATGCGTCAATGTTTCATCTAATTTTTTGACAAATAGCTTCTGAAGTGCTCATGAGAAATTCATTAGTTTCATCAACATTGATATAATAGATCAAACGTTAGACAACATTTTTTTTTTTATGTCATTCAACATTTTTATAACATTATTAAATGTCCTTCATTTGTTCAAATTATTTGAACAGTAAACTTAAGTTCAGCGTAGCTCAGTCGGCTAATCTTGTGGTAGCCACTGTGTGTGCGCTGAACCGTGGAGATCTCTAGGTCCCCAGTTCAATTCTCATCGCTGCCTCTCCTTGTGTTTCAGCTAGGGTGCTGAAACACAAGTTACAATAGCGCACCGTCTTTTGGATGAGATGTTTAAAAGAGAACTAGCAAAATGATTTTTTGTTTTAGAGGAGATTTTTGATATGCCATTAATAATAGAATCAACATTAAAATCGTTATTTGGCAATTGTTTATGAAGTTACAAGCCATTATATACGATTTTACCGTGATGTCACTGGCGAAAAAAAGTAACAAAAGATTGTGTATATAGCCCCGCGTAGGGTATCCATCGCGTACGATCTTTGCGTGCATGCTGTAACCATGGTTGTTGTAACTTGCATATCAAGTCATAGGCCTATAACTGCATAAGCCGTTGTCAACAAATGATTTACAACCATGGTTACAGCATGCACGCAAAGATCGTACGCGGCGGATACCTAACGCGGTTTTATTTGCACGATCTTTTGTTACATTTTTCGCCAGTGACGTCACGATTAAATAGTATATAATGGCCTATAACATCATAAGAAATTGCCAAAAAACGATTTTAAGGTTTATTCTATTATTAATGGCATATTAAAATTCCCCTCTAAAACAAAAAATCATTTTGCTAGTTCTCTTTTAAGCCGTCGTGAGAAATATTAAACATGTTTAATATTCTACTACGCGACTGCCCCCGACGCACATCATCGCGTCTGCGTTCAACTCACACAGACCCGACGCGACAACAGATCGCGTCGGGCTGCGTCGGCCGACGCTGTCTGAGTTGGCCTTAAAGACAACAAATCGCGTCGGGCTGCGTCGGCCGACGCTGTCTGAGTTTGAATAATCAAACATCTAGTTTGAAAAATGAGCAAACTATGCTAGCATTCCCCTAACCATCGTATATTATCGCATTCGCGATTCCAGACAGAAATAATAGGTTATCCAGTAGTTTTAACAGACAATACTATACCTTGCATACTTCAGACAGACTGAGTGAAGAAATATTGATTTTGTTGTTATTAGAAATCACAAGCAATTCCAGATGTAGTTCTAATAAAGAATAAAATATTGAACATGAAACAAATTAAATCAAAACAAAAATGTCTTTTTCATCAATAAATTATTATTAATATTTAAATTATCATCGTGGGAAAATTTTTTAAAACAACG